AGCAAAAGACAAAGAGAGAATCTTAAAAGCAGCAAGAGAAAGAGACTCAATTACCTACAAGGGAATACCCATACGACTGTCAGCTGATTTCTCAACAGAAACTTTGCAGGCCAGAAGGGAATGGCAAGAAATATTCAAAGTGCTGAATACCAAGAACCTACAACCAAGACTACTTTATCCAGCAAAGCTATCATTCAGAATTGAAGGTCAGATAAAGAGCTTCACAGATAAGGAAAAGCTAAAGGAGTTCATCACCACCAAACCAGTATTATACGAAATACTGAAAGGTATCCTTTAAGAAGAGGAAGAAGAAAAAGGTAAAGATACAAATTGTGAACAACAAACATGCATCTATCAACAAGTGAATCTAAGAATCAAGTGAATAAATAATCTGATGTACAGAATGAACTGGTGATTATAATGAATCAGGGACATAGAAAGGGAATGGACTGACTATTCTTGGGGGGGAAAGGGGAATGGGAGATTCGGGAAGAGACTGGACAAAAATCGTGCACCTATGGATGAGGACAGTGGGTGGGGAGTGAGGGCGGAGGGTGGGGCGGGAACTGGAAGGAGGGGAGTTATGGGGGGCGGGGGGAAGAGGAACAAATGTAATCTGAACAATAAAAATTTAATTAAAAAAAAAAAAAAAAGAAATGCCAGGGAGAGTCCATTATCTGTATGTATATGATCCTAGGCTCTCTCTGACCTAACAAATACTACTTCTAGGAATATATCCCAAGAAAACAGAAACACCAATCAGAAAGAATATATGCACCCCTATGTTCATAGCAGCACAATTTACAATAGCCAAGATTTGGAAACAGCCTAAATGCCCCTCAACAGATGAGTGGATTAGAAAACTGTGGTACATCTACACAATGGAATATTACGCCGCTATAAAAAAGAAGGAATTCTTACCATTTGCAACAGCATGGATGGAACTGGAGAGCATTATGCTAAGTGAAATAAGCCAGGAAGTGAAAGAAAAACACCACATGATCTCACTCATTTATGGATACTAAAGAACATTATAACCTGTTGAACAAAAAGATAGATACAGAGGCAGAGAAGCATTGAACAGACTGTCAAATTACAGTGGGAAGGCTGGGGAGTGTTGTGGGGGAGGTAAGAGATCAACCAAAGGAAATGTATGCATGCATATAAGTATAATCAATGGACATAAGACACTGGGGGGGGGGGGGCGGTGAGGGCATGTGCCGGGTGGGTAGGGGAAGCCAAGGGAAGGTCAATTGCAGGGGGGCGGGGAGGAGACATATGTACTACTATCTGTAATACTTTAAACTATAAAATAAATAAAATAGAAAAAATAAAATAATACAATACAATACAATAAAATAAAATAAAATAAAAAAAGAAAGATTATGAGGTTATGCCCCCATTTCCATGTAAGCCTCCAAGGTTGCATGTATCTCACTGATATATAGTTTCCCCAAAGGTTCAAGATTGTGTTTACACAAAGGCAGATAGGTGATTAGAATCATAAGTCAGTATTGAATTTTGTTTAATTTTTTTTGGATACATGTTGACATGGTTATATATACAGTTTTGAGTTACATTAATAAAGTTTCTAAGGTTGAACCATTCCTGTGATAAAATCCTAGATTATAAAATTGAATTTGATTTGTTAAATTTATTTGGGATTTTTGTGACTATATTCATGGATGAGCTTGACCTGTAAATTTTTTTCTTCTCTTACTGTCCTTGTTGGATTTTAGCTTAAAAAGTATGTTAGTCTCATAAACTGGCATGATTTATCAACATTTAAACAGCTTTTTTTCACCATGGTTTTTGAACTTACCTATGTCCTTTCTGTTTGAGTATATTCCTTAATAGTTCTTTCAGCAAGAGTGTTCTGGTGGTAAATGTTCTAAGTCTCTCTAGGTGTTTAAATAAATTTATTCTGCTTTTACTCCTAAATTATAGTTTATCTAGGTATAGACTTATGTTGAAAATGGGATTTTAGAGAAAGGCTTTGATTCAATCAATTTAATTTAAGACTGTAAGCTAAAACTGATCAAAGATTTTGGGTGTTTTCAGAAACTCACACCAAATTGATGAGATCTTAAGTCAAAGAATAGGGAAATATAAAACTCTCTGATAAGGACAGGAATTAAAATTTTATTTAAGACCATTTAAAAAATCTCATATATTTACAGCTTGTTAAATAAGCTACAAGGCAGGTTCAGAAAACTTTAATTGAAATTTTTTCCTAGTTTGCAGTCAGTGTGCCTTAAGGAATAATGTAGGTTGAAATGAATCTCATTGTCTTGCTTTAACAGTTCTTGCACCATTATTTTGGTTTCCCCCCCTGGTGTTCTTTTGTTTATGAATCTTTCACAAACCAGTTGGGGCCATTTATCTTCTATGCAATTAAAGCCAAATAGTTTGTGCTCTTTAGTGCAGCTGTTTCTCCTTAATCTTGGGCATTTTTTAAAAATACATTTTATTGATTTTTTACAGAGAGGAAGGGAGAGGGATAAAGAGTTAGAAACATCAATGAGAGAGAAACATCGATCAGCTGCCTCCTGCACACCCCCCACTGGTACATGCCCTTGACTGGAATCAAACCTGGGACCCCTCAGTCCTCAGGCCGACGCTCTATCCACTGAGCCAATCCGGTTAGGGCAATCTTGGGCATTTTTTATGACACTGTTTTCCCTCCTAACTAAAGCTCTCTCATTCTGTGATGGGGGTTTCTGCAAATTAACATTCCCATTAAACTTTTTGTAGGGTTCAAACTTTTCTGAATCGTATCTTCTCCCCTGTCTTGACAGTTGAAGTGCTCCCTCAGGTTTAATAAAGTGTTATTTTTACATTCATTTTTTATTTTACCCATGAACATTCAGCAGAAGAAACAGGTAAGGTATAGCTAGGAAGTTGTATCTAGAAAATAAAAATGTAACATTTAAGATGATGACAAAACGTTCCCCTTCAAAAATTACTTTCACTTATTGTCATCTATGCTCCAAATTCCCACATTTTCACAGTCAATTAACATTTATTGAAATCTTACAAGGTGCATGGCAATGGAGATTCAAAGAGGTATAAGAGGGGAGGGGGGGTGGGCTAGAAGAGGTCAATGGGGGAAAAGGGGGATATATGTAATGCTTTCAACAATAAAGTATTACAATCTTTTTTAAGATTTAATTTTAAAAAAAACAAAAAACAAACGTATAAGACCTGCTTCCTGCCTTCTTTAAATTTTTAAACTTTTAGTCTCAGGACCTCTATATACTCTGCAAAATTTGAAGATCCCAAAGAGCTTTTGTTTCTGTGAGTTTTATCTAGTAATATTTACCATATTAGAAGTTGAGAATAGGAAACTGTTTAAATATTTATTTATTTAAAAATAACAATAATATGCCTCTGACAACATAAATACCATAGTGTTATGAAAACTATACTTTAAAAACCAAAAGTTGTGAAAAATGGCCAAAATCAGGATGACCACATTTTTTCAGGTTTTTAAAACCTGTGTCTCTTTCAGTATGCTGAATATCTTTTTTAAACTACACATTATTTCCTTTAAAATTCCCCAGCTTGAGAAACCCTGCAGCAAAAGAATAAACTGTACCTGCTTATTTATGGGATGCATTCACACCGGCAAGGGCTATCAAGATGGTCTTAAGGAGGTATTTTTATAGCTCGTGTAAACAGAGAAACAACAGCATGACGACTTTACATTTTGCATACCATGGCTGTCTTGCAAAACTTGGAATATGAATTTTAGGATCCATTTAGAAGGCAGAATTTGTAAATATACTTAGTTTGATGACTAGAAGTTTTCTTTCCCAATAATATAAGGGTCATAGAGTTTTATAAAAAGACCAAATTTATTTGTCCCATTAACACAAATATAGTAGTTTTATCAATAATTGCAAACTCTTGGAAGAAACCATGATGTAAAACAAAACAAAACAAACAAACAGAAAACCCCAGAAAATTAATGAAAAGATTGGCATTGTTTTACATATTTATGAATTTCTTTAATGTCTGGCTTAATAAAAGACAACTGGATTCTCATGTCTTCTTCTGCAATTGACATGTCATGCAGCATTTATAAAATTCCACCTATGACAGAATCAGAGTGAAAAAGGCAAATAATGTCTTAGTATTATTTTGAAAATAGTTTGACCTCATATATCCACTGAAAGTTAAGGACCCCAAGGGATCCTTGGATCACACTTTGAGAAAAGGGATCTATATATGAAAAAGAAAATGAAAAAAATACACAACGTATTTCAAGTGACAACGAAAAGAGATTTCAGAGCAGGGAGCTGTAATAACACTAGGAAAGGGATAAAGATAAATAGATAAATAAAATAGATAAATCCACAATGTCATAAAACACAAAGTCTGTGGAAATGTTCAATATTAAAGTAGACTAAAGAGACAGGAAAACCCAATGCAATGCCTGATCTTAGACTGGATCCTGTGCTACAGAGGGGGAAAATAATCTATAATGGACATTATTGGGTCAATTAACAAGATTGGAGAATGGACAATAGACTAAAGTATATCAATGCTAAATTTGCTGATGTTGGTCAACATTATGTGGTAAGGTAAATAGGATGTCCTTATGCTTAGGAAATGCACTATGAAGTATTTGGAGGTAAAGGACCATGAAGTTTGCAACTTATTCTCAAATTGTTCAGAAAAAACTGAGTGTTTGTACATGCATGTGTATGTGTATAGAGAGACAGACAGGACATGAAAATGATAAAGCAAATGTGTAAATATGTTATCAGCTAATTATAGGTAAAGGGAATACAGACAATTTTTGTGCTACATGTATTTTTTCCATTTTCCATAAATTTGAAATTATTTCCTTCCCCAGTTTCTAAAATTATATTTTTCAAAAGACACTGATGAAAAAATGAATAGGCAAACCTTAGCCTAGAAAATATTCACTGTACACATATAAGACAAAGGACTTGTATACAAATAACTCCTATTCAGTAATTTAAAAAGCCCAATTTAAAAAGAAACAAAAACTTGGACACATACTTGATAAAGGAAGAAATACAGATGGACAATAAACATGTAAAAATTCTTTCAATTAGCAATAATCGCGCCTTAGATATACCTCATTGGCTACGATACTGCCACTGTACAAAGTCACACTGCGAAAAATTATTTTCTAAAAAACAAAACATGTTTTTAAACTGTTAATATTTAATTAATTTTATAATAGAAATTAAATTTAGAAAAAGTTAATAGAAATTTAGAATTAAAATTATAGTTGATTTCCCCCCTGGACTCCTTGGTAACCTGTCATGGGAGGTCCTTGTCACCATCCTCTTGCCTCCTCTAGCCCCGCGGAGCCCCACAAGTCTCAATTATGCATAAGTGTATGTCTGTCCACGTTAGCCAGGCTGGTGTCCAGATCAGCAATGCCTGCTGGGAATTCTGTTGCCTGGAATACAACATCCAGCCTGATGGCCAGATGCCAAGTGTGAAAAGACCATTGTGGGAGAGATGACTCCTTCAACACATTCTTCAATGAGACAGGCACTGGAAAGCATGTGCCCAGAGCAGTGTTTGTACACCTGGAACCCACAGTCATTGATGAAGTTCACACTGGTACCTACCATCAACTCTTCCATCCTGAGCAGCTCATCACAGGCAAAGAAGATTCTGCCAATAACTATGCCCATGGGAACTACACTCTTGGCAAGGAGATGATTGACCTCATCTTGGACCAAATTCGGAAACTGGCTGACCATTGGACAGGTCTTCAGGGCTTCTTGGTTTTCCACAGCTTTGGTGGGGTAACTTGTTCTGGGCTCACCTCCCTACTGATGGAATGTCTCTCCATCGATTATAGCCAGAAGTCCAAGCTGTAGTTCTCCATTTACCCAGACCCCCACCCCCAGGTTTCCACAGCTGTAGTTGAGCCCTACAACTCCATCCTCACCACTCACATCACCCTGGAGCACTCATTGTGCCTTCATGGTTGACAATGAGGCCATCTACAATATCTGTCATGGAAACCTCGATATTGAGCGCCCAGCCTACACTAACCTTAACGGCCTTATTACCCAGACTGTGTCCTCCATCACTGCTTCCCTCAGGTTTGATGGTGCCCTGGATGTTGATCTGATCGAATTCTAGACCAATTGGTGCCCTATCACTGCATCTACTTCCCTCTGGGCACATATGCCCCTGTCATCTCTGCTGAGAAAGCCTACCATGAACAGCTTGCTGTAGCAGAGATCACTAATGTATGTTTTGAGCCATCCAACCAGATGCTGAAGTGTGACCCTCGCCACAGTAAATACATGGCTTGTCAATTGTGCTGTGGTGATGTGGTTCTTAAAGATGTCAATGCTGCCATTGCCACCATCCACACTGAACATGCCATCCTGTGCAGACTGGTGCCCCACTGGCTAAAAAGTTATAATTTGTTACCAGCCTCCCACTGTAGTACTGGTGGAGACCTGGCCAAAGTACAGCCAGCTGTGTGCATGCTGAGCAACACCACACTGTTGCTGACGCCTGAGCTTCCCTGGACCACAAGTTTGACATGATGTGTGTGGGGCGCGGCTACAGTGTTTTGGCCAGGTTCAAGCCTCGGACTAATGAAAGGACAGGGTCCTCTCATTGCCACGTGCAAGTCCCAGCTGGAGGGCAGGGCCCTCCCAGCACAATTATAGCCAACAGCTATAGCTGTAAGCTTGAACCTGTGGTCCAAACACGTGGCCCCACGTGCCTTGTGCTAGAGTTCAGGTGCATGTAGTTGAGTAGGGTTGAAACTCACAAGAATGCTGTAAACAACTTGATCACGCCCCTACTTTGCCTCGTGGCATCTGCTATAAAATAAAGACACGGCTGGTGGGCGCTGGCGCTGTCTCCTCATCAGGGAGCAGCGTCCCACCAAGACCCAGCTTTCATTCTCTTGTCTGTCTTTTCTCAATCCTTTCACCCCCCCACCCCCACTCAGGATCACCTTTGGCCGTAACAGATATGTGCTTTTGTTCACTGGTATGTGGGTGAGGGCATGAAGGAAGGAGAATTTTCTGAGGCCCACGAGGACATGGTTGCCCTTGCGAAGGATTATGAGGAAGTTGGAGCAGATAGTGCTGAGGGAGAGGATGAGGGTGAAGAGTATTGACCTGTCTGCTGCAATGTTACAATCTGGTGTTTTATGACTGTCTTATTTCTTCTTCTTTTTTTTTTAAATTAAATCTTTATTGTTCAGATTACATTTGTTCCTCTTTTTTTTTTCCCCCATAACTCCCCTCCTCCCAGTTCCCGCCCCACCCTCCGCCCTCACTCCCCACCCACTGTCCTCATCCATAGGTGCACGATTTTTGTCCAGTCTCTTCCCGCATCTCCCACACCCCTTTCCCCCCCAAGAATAGTCAGTCCCTTCCCTTTCTATGTCCCTGATTCATTATAATCACCAGTTCATTCTGTACATCAGATTATTTATTCACTTGATTCTTAGATTCACTTGTTGATAGATGCATGTTTGTTGTTCATAATTTGTATCTTTACCTTTTTCTTCTTCTTCCTCTTCTTAAAGGATACCTTTCAGCATTTCGTATAATACTGGTTTAGTGGTGATGAACTCCTTTAGCTTTTCCTTATCTGTGAAGCTCTTTATCTGACCTTCAATTCTGAATGATAGCTTTGCTGGATAAAGTAATCTTGGTTGTAGGTTCTTGGTATTCATCACTTTGAATATTTCTTGCCATTCCCTTCTGGCCTGCAAAGTTTCTGTTGAGAAATCAGCTGACAGTCGTATGGGTATTCCTTTGTAGGTAATTGACTTTCTTTCTCTTGCTGCTTTTAAGAGTCTCTCTTTGTCTTTTGCTCTTGGCATTTTAATTATGATGTGTCTTGGTGTGGTCCTCTTTGGATTCCTTTTGTTTGGGGTTCTCTGCGCTTCTTGGACCTGTAAGTCCATTTCTTTCACCAGGTGGGGGAAGTTTTCTGTCATTATTTCTTCAAATAGGTTTTCAATATCTTGCTCTCTCTCATCTTCTGGCACCCCTATAATTCTGATATTAGTGCGCTTGAAGCTGTCCCAGAGGCTCCTTACACTATCTTCGTATTTTTGGATTCTTTTTTCATTTTGCTTTTCCGGTTGGGTATTTTTTGCTTCTTAGTATTTCAAATCTTTGACTTGATTCTTGCGCTCCTCTGGTCTGCTGTTGGGTGTCTGTATAATATTCTTTATTTCAGTCAGTGAATGCTTAATTTCTAGTTGGTTCTTTATCACAACATCGAGGGTCTCATTAGTTTTCTTGAGGCTCTCATCAAGTTTATTGGCAGCTTCTAGCACATTATTGAAAGCCCTCAAAAGTGCGTTTTTTAGCTCTATATCCTCCATTTCTGTCATGTTTTTTTGTCTGCGCATTTTTTATGCTTTCTTCGTGCACCCCCTTGTGGTCTTTGTGTGCAGTCTTGTTCTAGTTAAGCCTTGATTGTTGTAGTTAATACTAGAGGGATTTGACCACCAGGCCGACTGGTTGTGAGAATCAGCTGTGTCTGCCTTGGGAAAACTTCTGTCCTTTGGAGAGGTGCTAATCTAGCCTTTGCCTGAGGCTATCCGGCAAATGGCTCTGCGCAGGGCTTGGGCAGGGCGGGATCAACAGGGCGGGTGGAGGGAGCGGTTATGGCTGCTCTCAGTCCCGTTCCCAGAGGCTCTGCTTCTCAGAACCCCAGCAACCGCTGCAAACCTCGGAGAGAAAGCTGCCCTCACGTTCCGACTGATCCCAGACAATCCCGCTTCTCCCGTTTGAGTCTGAGTCCCTAGAGACTCGCCCGGATCTGGAGCTCAGAGTCTGAGACTCCCTCCTGATTGAAAACGACAACCACGCCCTCAGCCACCAGCCCGCTTTGCGCGCGCACCTCCGCACCTTTGTATTTTCCACACTGCGCCTCCTCTGAGCCTCGGTATGCTGTTCTCTTTTCTTCTAGTTGAAGAGTCTCTCCTCAGCCAGCCTTCCTGTGGTTCTGGGTGATGTCCGTTCCGTCTTTTAGTTGTATTTTTGAAATGGTTGTTTGCGGCAGCAATCTCCGGTGTTTACCTATGCCACCATCTTGGTTTTCCTCTCTGTCTTATTTCTTCTTATTTCTGTTGTTCTGTGAAGTTCATTTGTGTCCCAAACTTGTCAATAAAAGTGATGCTTTTATTTAGAAATAAATAAATTAAATTCTAATAAATTAGACGTTAACAATGTATTCAAACTTGAAAAGTGATATCTTGGGAAATAACAAAATGTCATTTTGCTGCAGATACAATCATTTCTGGACCAAGAAGTCACCTAGATTAACCAATATTGCAGAAGTCAGGAATCATGAATTAACAGGAATATCTTATATTTATATCAATCACTGGATCCTCTTGGCCATTTGATAAACCAGATGTCACAATTGGATATCTCTGAATCCCACAAAAAAGCTGGGTTGCCAATATTCATGGAAATGTGAAATAGCCTGATATATGAGAAAGAGCACTGGGTAAGAAGTCAAAAGACTTCAAGTATAGTTCCCAGTTCTGCCACTAACTAGCTGAGTAAATCACTTAATTGCTGTGGGCTAAACTTTTTTTTTAATATGTAAAATGAAAATTATATATTAAATCATCTTCAAGGTCTCTTCCAATAATAAAGGTTTGTGAGGTGGGAAAGTAAGTAAGATTGCAGAAGCATTACCTAGTAAAGGTCTCCCATGTCCAACATGGTTATATGTGCTCAAGGATAGAAGATAGAAAGTACTTACCACGCCTACTTATCTCATTTGTCCTTAGGGATCAAAGCATCTTAGTTGGTGAAGGAAATGATACCATGAACTCCAGAATACTGTCAGGACAGCTTTCAAATCCAATGAGATAACTATACAGGTCAGTAAAAGGAAAATAACTTACAGAAAAAAGAAAATTCTTTTGTGTGTGTCACGCTCTATGCTAATTATATAGCTATCTCATCTAGTCTTTTCATATTATATAGGTTTACTGTCCACATTTTTTAAATTTAAATTTTTGGATCACAAAGTTTAAGTGATTGGAATCCCATATTCATTCCATATTCCATCCCAACTCTGTCAAGTCAAATTCTTCCATAGAACCTTCCTATTCCTTGCATAGAACCTTCCTTGACCACCCTGGCCT